AGGAACATCCCTGGAAGAATCTTGAACACGAGAACAAGATAAAATTTTATCCTTTAAAGGCTCGACTTGACCCAAAGCGGATTCAAAAACATTCTCTAAATTTACTCTTTTTAGAAAATCTACCCCGAGCAAACATTCGTCCGCGATGTCCGCGACAAACATCGGAACCTCTAACGAAAATTTTCCCACTTCGACTTTAACTTTCACTCTAAATTCTATCGGAACTCTTTCTCCAGTGGGATATCTGACAATGAGATTATGATTCGACACACTAAACTTTTCCTTTCCCTCAGCAAGGAAACTTGTACTAACTAGAGAAACATCAGAGCCTGTATCCACCTTAAAAGAACATACCCTACCCTCAAGTCTCCCTTGGTAATAAAAATCACTATTAACCTTATTAATTCTTCTTATTAAAAGGGTTTCAGAACATTTTTCCGGGGAATTATTCGAGGAAGTTGACCCCACCCCGCTTAAGTCAACTAAACCTCGTTTCCCTTCTCCTCGGGGCATTCCGCCCGGAAATGCCCGGTCTTTCCACACGTCCAACATTCCCGACTATAGGCGGCAGGCTTTTTGTCGCGCCAGTCCCCTCTTCGTGGACTTTTACCTTTTCCATTTTTCACCATTATTTGTTCCATGCCCTTCTTTCTCTGACGCGCTCTTTCTTTCTCTAAAATTATAATTCCTGCGAGAATTCTCTCCCCTTTGGATAAACTCAATGGCTTTTGCCCTCTCAATAGCCACGCTCAAGGAGGATACCCCTTCTAACTGGAGGGTGCGCCTAATAAAATTGTCCCAAATGGCAGAGACAAATTGCGCGCAAGCGATTTTATCGCGCACGTGATGGGGACACTCTGCGTAAGCCAGACGCGACAACCTCTCGAGCTCAGAGCCGAACGTAGCCAAATCTTCACCGTAACGCTGTTTACGATTTATAAACTGCGTATAAAAATTTTGGGACAAGTGTCCTTCCCCGAAACGCAACTCTAATTTGGATTTCAACTCAGAGTACCCCAAGTTGGCTAAATCTTGTACGGGCTCTAAGACCGAACGCGCCTTTCCTCTCAGACATGAGGCGAGGGCCACCGCTTTCGAAGCATCCCCCCATCCATTCGCGCGCGCGATCAATTCGAACTGCGAGAAAAATTCGCGTATCGGAACGACTCCGTCGTACGTGTCGGGCTTGAGCTTATAGCCCAGCATCGCGCGTGCATCACCGTCCCCGACAAACGGTCGTTCAGACCCGGCGCGACCCATTCCCGACACTCCGTGACTCGACTCCGCGTCCCCTGCGGCAATATTATCAGAGCGACTTAGCTGTGTGTTCTGCAGCCGCTGTAGTTCCTCGTCACGCCGTCGAAACATCTCGGAAAATTCGGCAGCCTGACGCGTCTGCTCCTCCCGCAGACGGCGCACCTCCTCGAGCACCGCATGAAGGGGTGCCGTTCCCGCATCCGGCTCTGGCACCTCTACGATCCGTCTCTTCGGTCGTGCAGCCATTTAAATCCCGGACGAGCCCCCAAATGTGACGTCCGCTCGGCGCGATGTTCCGCTGTCGGCACAACACCCCGCGCACTCGCGTTCGTGTCGGTACGTCGCCTTTCTTACTCGCGCACCGCGCCACGGGTAAATGAGAGAGAGAGGATTAAAAGGAACAAGGAATCTTTATTGACAGTTAATCACACGTCTTCTTTCTCGAAAACTCGGGACAATTCTAATTAATCAATGATAAACATCATCTCATCGGTCCTTAGCGACCGGCGTCTCCATGCGCCGCAACTTCAGCCCACAGCTGGCGCGTATCCATCGGGTGACCGACGCAACACCTCGCGGGCGTAACAATATAATATATAAATATACTGTATACATATATGTATTGTATATGGTAACCCCAATGAATATTAAAGCTTTCTTGTAATCATCACTCACAGGTGTTAGAAGATTCATTGGACTGGCTTAATCGATGGGAAATGGCAGCACGAAAAGGCGACATTACATGTGATGAATTTTTAACCCAAGAGACGGCACAAGGATTGCGAATAACTATCCAATCTACAATAGAATTATGTCGTTACTTTATTGAGAAATTCCAATTTGAAAATTTGCTAACAGGAAAAGTTAACCAAGATAACTTGGAGGTATTAATCAATCTGCAAAGAAGCAATACTTATCATTTACAAATTCTTTATGTATTTATTCGGTGCTTTCCATTTACCGACACAAGTTGATACAAGTATCATTTTATCCTTGTTCCTCACTGGAAGTTGAAAAAATAGGCTAAAGTTTGTGTTGACTTGTGTCGCTCAATAAATAGCACCAATTGTTTACATGTTTCAGAAATTTTTCGGCACAATACGCCAAGCTGCGGGATGCAATGACCACCCAAGCTGTCCAACATTCTTACAGCTGTACAAATTGTTGTCGGTATACAGTATAATCAAGCCACCGAAATATGGCAATTGTACAGTTTCGGATGAGACATCGCCACAAATTCTCGTGTCTCTGAGCAAACTTAAAGCTGCATATGGAGGAAATAGTGAAACAAAGAGTCTAAAGTATCGTCGAGAAATTCAGCGAAGGTTAGATGCTACTTTAGAACATAAGGACTGGGAAGTTGATGACATTATAGAATATCAACCCGACCATGATAACATTCCTTCCCCAACTCTTGATTGTATCATCTATTACGTGACAGGTTTTTCACATTAACAACTTTTCTGTGCACTGCTTCTCAGTTAAATAACCAGTTGCGTTTAAGTTGACTAACATCGCTTAGTGTATCACGAGACACGGTAGTGTCTCGCGCCAAGTGTAAGCGAAGCTAGTACACGCGCGCGAGACCGACCGTGTAAGTTTACGCGAGTACACGACTTGACGAGCCCTCAGATTTTTTTATCTCAACAACGGCTGATCCCACGAACTTAAGACTGCGCTTAATCGATAGCTTGGGTACGATTTGCATAATAAAACTATTTTTACTTTTCTCCTACGTGCCCCATGAGTAGAGATATTGCAATGCAAAGTCCAGGAGTCTGAATTTTTCTGAATTTTTACGTATATTTTTTAAGAAACGTCGTCATCGTGGTCGTGGTCGTCATCGTCGTCGTCGTCGTCATCAACCAGGCCAAAACCC